GGCCACTCAGCGATCAGCCCTTCGGTGTCTGCCCCGCCCCAGTGTTCCTCTGGGACTTTGCTTAGGAGGACGGTTGTGAGGTTTCGAATGGAAAAGCAAATAACACCGTTTTCCGCCGTGTTGGCGTCAGCGGTCAGGCTCCTGCTGCCGAGCTGCCTTGGGACTGAGGACAGTTTGAGGGCCCCAGCTCCCCGTCCTTCTCCTGCCGGGGGTGCTCGGTGCAGGGGCCCCGGAGGGTCTGCCCCCAACAGCGGGAGCCTGACCCACTCCGTTCGTTTCCACAGGCAACGTCGTCAACATTCAGACGGGCCACTGGGTGGGCAAGCAGAGCGGCCTGGGCGCGGGGCTGGACTCCTTCTACGAGTACCTCCTCAAGTCCTACATCCTCTTCGGGGAGAAGGAGGACCTGGACATGTTCAACGCCGCCTACCACAGCATCCAGAGCTACCTGCGCCGGGGGTGCGTCCGCACCGCGCCCGCTGCCCCATCCCAGTGCAAATCCCCAGGCCCCGTTGGCCTCGGGCACCCCCGGTGTTTGTCCGTCATCTGGGGGTGACGAGGTGCATTAGCTGCCTCCTGCTACATCACAGGTCCCCCAAAACTCAATGCTCAGAGCCGCAGACCGCCTCTCACAGGGTCTCACGGGATTGTCCCCAGGCTGTTGGCAGGGGCTGTGCCTTGTCGAGGCCGGTTGAGGCAGACAGTCCCCTTCCAGAGCACACGGTGGCCAGAGCCGCTGGCTGTCGGCTGGAGGTCTCGGCAACTCGGGCCTCTTGTAAGCGGCTCCTGGCAGCTTCCCTCAGAGAGAGAGACCAATCTCAGAGTGACAGACCGGCACTGCCTGCGTCTGATCGCACAGCCGGCCGGGCAGTGGGAAGGGCCACCCAGGGCGGCTCGGAGGCAGGGCCGGGACCGTCGGAGCCTGGCTTCCAGGAGCGCCACAGCCTGTGCCTCACGGCTCTCAGGAGACGGCTGTCGTGCAGGGCGGGCGCCGAGTCACTGGACCCTTTACTTGCCAGAGTTGCTAGGGTTGGCCTTGCCCCTGCTGAGAGCCAGGGCGTGGCCGCAGCCCTCCCGCTGCCGGGTTGAACCTGCCTCCTCTGCTGCCTCTCAGCTGTGCATCCAGGTGGCGGCTGCCTGGCCTCTCCCCTGCCGTCACTGATGTCTCTCGCTCAGGGCGCCCGCCTGGACCCGTCCCCACAGTGGCTGCCGTGGGAGCCACCGCGAGTGCTGTCCCGCCAACAGGCTGTTTGGCTGGAGCTCAGCCACTTTCACTTTTGGGGGAGGGGGCAGTTTTTATTGATTTTTAGAGAGGGAGGGAGGGAGAGAAACTGATGTGAGAGAGGTACATCCATCCCTTGCCTCTTGCATGTGCCCCAACTGGGAATCGAACCCACAACCTTCCGGTACATGGAACGATGCTCCAACCCACTGAGCCGCACCGGCCGGGCACCGTTTTTACTTTTTAAAGCCCCAAACGGAACTGAGGAGCCGGCCCTTGGGCAGCTGGCTCGGTGTGTGCCAGCAGCCCGGGGCGTGGGGCCTGACCAGGGAGGAGACGCCGTTTATGCAGAAGTAGCCAGGCCTCCCACGCAGGTCACACCCACGCAGACCTGCTGTGCGCCCCGTGCCCTGCGTGGCCTGTCCTTACGCTGCATGTCCCAGTGCTTCCTGCAGAGGCTGTGAGCCGGGCTGCTCCGCGGCCGAGTTCCGACCTCGTGCTCATTCAGGGGTTACCTGTCAGGCGCTAGTATCGCGGGAGAGGCAGGGCCTTAAAGAGGGGGAGGATGTATTTGATGACTTTTTTTAAAAATATATTTTTATTGATTTCAGAGAGGAAGGGAGGAGAGAAAAAGAGAAACATCAATGATGAGAGAGAATCATTGATTGGCTGCCTCCTGCACGCCCCCTACTGGGGATCAAACCCCCGCACCCAGGGCATGTGCCCTTGACCAGAATTGAACCTGGGACCTTTCAGTCCACAGGCCGACACTCTACCCACTGGGCCAAACCGGCTAGGGCTGAAAGCCAGTTTTTAGGATTTTTGTAAAAATGACCAAAGCCATTGAGTTGGCCAGGAAAAGGTGAGATAAATAAAATTCTAAAAGAAAGGGGGGGTGGGGGGCCGGTAGGAGGAAGGCTCATGCCGACGCCATTGAAGTGGAACTCGGGCCGCGGGGGATGGCCCACCTGTCACCGTCCTCTCACCCTGCCCTCTGCTCGCCGCAGCCGGGAAGCCTGCAACGAGGGCGAAGGGGACCCCCCGCTGTACGTCAACGTGGACATGTTCAGCGGGCGGCTGATGAACACGTGGATGGACTCGCTGCAGGCCTTCTTCCCGGGGCTGCAGGTACCGCCGCCCTCCCTGGCACGCACTTGGGGGCGCTGGTCCTCCTTCCTTCGGCCGCGGGCTCCCCGGCTCCTTCGGATTCAGGAGGGCAGTGGCAGGACGTGTCTTGGTGGTTCTTTCTGTTGGTGGAGTTAGTTCCACAATGTTGGACGGAGCCACGGATAAGCGGGAAGCCGTGCCCGAAAAGTGGCCCAGTGTCGTGTTTGGGTGGCCCCTCGGCTGTCTTGTCTGTGATCACAGCGAAGCCCTGGCCGGTGCCGTGCCCGTCCTCCTGGCACTGATGCCCCGAGGGAGGCCTCTCCTGCTCTGGGTGCTACTTTGGGGTTGTCTCCAGCCCAGGGTGGGTATGGGTGGGGGAGGGAAAGCCAGAGCCGTGGGCCAGCGTCCTAGCCTGGCGGCCGGTGCCTCCGCAGGTCCTGATAGGAGACGTGGAAGATGCCATCTGCCTGCACGCCTTCTACTACGCCATCTGGAAGCGCTACGGGGCGCTCCCCGAGCGGTACAACTGGCAGCTGCAGGCCCCCGACGTCTTCTTCTACCCGCTGCGGCCGGAGCTGGTGGAGTCCACCTACCTCCTCTACCAGGTGCGGTCTGGTCCCACCGGCCGGGTTTCAGCGCCGGGGCAGCCGGGGCGCCTGGGGGCCTGGTTCTCGGGGAACCCCTGCTGGTTGGTGTGGGCTCTCTTGTTTCCTGTCGTTCTGACACCTGTCCAGGGTCACTCGTGGTTCCACAGGGCGGGGACAGCTTGCAGGTTCAATCCCCGGCCTGGTCAGGGCAGGAGTGGGAGGGAGACAACCAGTCCATGTGTCTCTCATGTCGGTGCTTCTCTCCCTCTCTCTCTTTCTCTCTCTCTTCCCCTCCCTCCCTCTACTCTCTCTAAAAAAAAATTAAAAAAACAAAAACAAAACTATTCTCAGATGAGGATAAAAAAAAGATGACCCCCAACTGTGGAACCACTCGAGGGGAAGTCTCACCTTCCCAGCGAACCCTTCCCTGAGGGGCCTTCTCGGGCTGAGCTGGGGCAGTTGGAGGGCCGAGAGCAGCCTCCGTGGGGGACCTCACGAGGCTGTGGGGACCGGGCGAGCTCCTGCTCCCTGTGCCCGAGGCACCGGCTTCTGGAGAGTTCTGCGGCAGGTGGACACTGGCTTGCTCTCAGAGTTGGCGCTGGAGCGAGGCCGGGCTGTGGCTCAGGAAGGCGGGCGGGGAGCAGCCCTGCCCGGAGCGTCTGTCTCCCCCTTAGCCAGGCCGTGGGGCCGACATGAGCTGACACTTAGCCCTGGACGCTGTGACCCTCAGGGGCCAGGCCCTGCGCCCTCCTCTGGCCGTGACTCATCACCAGACACCGGCAGTGCCGTGGCACGCCCACGTCCTGGGCCGCTGGCTCACGCTCTCTCCTCTCCAGGCGACCAAGAACCCCTTCTACCTCCACGTGGGCATGGACATCCTGCAGAGTCTGGAGAAGTACACGAAAGTCAAGTGAGTTTCCCAGCTCCCCCCCCTCCTGTCGGAATCGGGGTCCCTGGGAGTTGTGCTGGGAACAGGTTCTCGCGCAGGTTCACGTAGAGGGCGGGTCTCTCCTCTTGATTTTGTAGGGAAGTTGTTTCCTTTCTGTGTCAGCACCTGTCCATTCTAGGGGGTGGCTTTCTATTTCTTCACTGTTCTTGTCTGTGAGGTGCTGGCAGACTGTATTCTTTTTAAGTAACTCTTTCCCCTATTTCACACGTAAAACATGCACTGTTACTCTCCCTGGAGTGCCCACGTGCAGAGCGGAGCACAGTCTTTAAGCCTGTGTGCTCATCGTCTTTATGTATTCACATGTAACGTGTGTGTATGTATGTATTATATAAAAAAAGCTATTTCCATTTTGTGACCTGCTTTTTTACCTAGCAGTGGGTCCTGAGTATTTTTTATAAATTCCTGTCTTAGACTTTCCAAATGATACGTCGGTTCTATAAATATTAGGGTGAAAATGTTAATCAGTCCTGCATTCGTCCCAGCCACTTCTCGATGTCACGTATGCTCGGCACACCTGCCAGTACCCGCCCCCGCCGCCCCCACTAACCTGGCGATTCAGCCACCAAATCCATTTTTAAATGAATGTGCAGACGGGCTCGGCTAAGGCGGGCAGCGCTGGAGCCGGGCGGAACCTGTTTGCCGTGGGCATGTGCTGAGGGGCTGGTGGTTCCGTGACTAGACTCGCGCTGCTCGGTGAGTGCGCACCCGAGGGAGCAGCAGGGCTGGCGGCTGTTTTGCAGGTGTGGGTACGCCACGCTGCACCACGTCATCGACAAGTCCAAGGAGGACCGGATGGAGAGCTTCTTCCTCAGCGAGACCTGCAAGTACCTGTACCTGGTACGTGCTGGGGGCTCCCCCAGGAGAGAGCGGGGCCTGTGGGCTGGCCTCTGACGGGGTGACCGTGGCCACCGGCACGTGCTCATGTGTGTGCAGAGGCAGATGTCTGCACTGGAGGGACCGCGGGGAGCATAGCCCCCCGCGTCTGCCATGTGAGAGGTGCAGACAGTTCTGGGGCTCCAGCCCGAGAATGGGGAGCACATGGGTTCATCCAAGGGTTCCGAGCACGGCCCAGGTTTGGGCCTTTGTGCTAGGCCTTGTGACTCTCTCGCCAGGGGTCGGGGGGGGACATCCTGCAGAGTCTGGAAGGTCAAGCAGAAGTGGTGACTCAGACTCGCAGCCGGGCTGGGACCACGGACGCCTTCCCAGCGCTGTCCCTGGAAAGCGGTGGCAGGTCCCCCAGCTGGGGGGGGGGCTGGGCGCCCCTGAGGTCCAACCTGCCCGTCACCAATCGTGTCTCCTCCTCTCCCTCCAGCTGTTTGATGAGGAGAACCCGGTGCACAAGTCCGGCACCAGGTACATGTTCACCACCGAGGGGCACGTGGTGTCGGTGGACAGGCACCTGCGGGAGGCGCCGTGGAAGGAGTTCTTCCCCGACGAGCGCGGGCACGCAGCCGGGTCCTCTCTGCGCAGGCCGGCGGCTCCCGACCTGAAAGTCATCAACTCCAGCTCCAACGTGAGTTGCTTTTCAGGGGGGTCGCTCCGCATGTGGACGGAGAGAAAACACCCCTAATTAACTACTCAGACCGGGTTGCCTGAGGTTCACAGAGGCGGTTCTCAGGGCGTGGGAGCCGCGGAGCGGTGGCCAGTCACTCCCCGCTGAGGGGTCGATGGGCGGACGCTCATGTAATAGACCTCATTCCGTCACGCAACGCTGGATGGGGGCCGATCGAGGGGCCCCAGTTTCAGATAGGTCATGGCTGGTGGGGAGACCGGCTCCTCCCCAGGAACTTGAGGAGGGGACAGCCACAGAGCTGTCAAAACACAGAGGAGAAGGGAGCCACCTGCCAGAGAAAGCCTGGAGGGCTTCCCGGAGGAGCTGGCTTTTCAGTAGGTCCTGGAGGGGGAGGAGGCCCTACAGGGAGGTTGCTCAGGCAGAAGGAAGCGGGGGTGGGGGGGTGGATGCCGGGACCAGTGAGTCCCAGTGGGGACGTGTTCCTTGGGGAAGAGCCTGTGATGGTGCATGTGGGAACTGCTTCAGACAACATGTTTGGTTCCCGAACTTTCCTTCGAGGGGAGGGAGGAGGCCTCCAATTACAGGCAGAGAAGCACTCGTGCGAATTTAGGTTCCGGCTGTGGAGAGAGGAGCTGTAAACGCAGAGGAGCCACAGGATTCCCAGAGAGCGTTTTCCGCAGTTCCGGGTGGAGTGGGAGCCGGGATGCCGCTCGGAGTCCCGGCCACTGCGCACGTGCGTGGACCTCAGCCTCCCGGGGTCCCCGCCTGTGCCCCTGGGAGGCGAGGCGCCCCAGTGCTCCCAGCCAGGGTGCCCGCTCCTCCAGGGACAGTGGCCATGTCTGGGGGTGGGGCCGGGTCATCTCGTGGCAGAGGCCAGGGATGCTGCCAGCTCCTGCGTCACACGGGACGCTCGACCTGTCGGCAGTGCCGGCCGAGAGGCCAGGTCGGTTCATCCACCCCATTTCCTGAGGCTCAGCACGTGGAGTTTTTTTTTAAATATTTTTTTTATTGATATTAAGAGGATGGGAGAGGGAGGGAGGGACAGAAACATCAATGATGGGAGAGAATCATTGGTTGCCTGTTCCCCCTTCCTGGGGATCAAGCCCCTAACCCGGGCATGTACCCTGACCTGGAATTGAACTGTGACCTCCTGGTTCATAGGTCAACACTCAACCACTGAGCCACACTGGCTGGGTCAACACATGGATTTTTAACTTGAAATTCCCACGGTCCCATTTCTCTAGTGCAACCGCGTGCCCGACGAGCGGAGGTACTCCCTGCCCCTGAAGAGCGTCTACATGCGCCAGATTGACCAGATGGTCGGCCTGATTTGACCTGCGCTGGCTGCTCTGTGGGCCCCGCTGAGCCCGGACCAAACACCGCGTCCAGGCCACGCCTGGCCACACCCGGCCCCGCGTGAGGTGGAGGCGTGAGCTGGAGGCCGGAGTCTGGCCGGCCAAGTGCCGCAGCAGTTCTGTCCGGCTCCTCGCCCACATCCATACAGTCCTGCTTCCTTTAGTGTTTCTCTTCTGTTCAATAAAATGCCCTGTTTCTCACGGATGTAATTTGAAGTGAGAAGGTGCATAGGAGTTGGCCTCGTAGGACCTGCTGATGCCGCTCAGCACAGTGGACGGATCTTCGTGGCTCAGGACGGTGGGACCCAGCGTCTCCTCCCCTCGCCGGGCTCGCCAGACACAGTGTTGCCGCCTCCGTCAGCGACTGGATGGAATCCCGTGCAAAGGGCCTGCGGTCCCCGGGGCCTCCCTATTTATTGCCTTTTGTCATCCTTTCTCTCGTTGGTAACTGGGCTCTCCCCGGTGCCGCCCGTGATTTTGGGTCACGTGGGGGAGAAGCCATCCAGCTACCCGTTTGCACCCCCGGGAACCTTCGCAGTGTTACCGTTCTGAGCTTACGGGGAGCGGTCCCCTGGCGGTGAGTCACGCTGTGAGCTTAGCAGGGAGATCTTCCGGATGTTTTACTTTTCTTTTCCTCGGAACTGACCTGAGGAGCTGCGTGGTTCCAGAACCAGGTGCCTTGAGGGGAGAGAAACATACCTAAGACTGTCTGTGCTTCCGTCTGCCTCCTGGTCACTAACCGAGGATGCTCAGCTCTGACTGTGTTTCGTTTCTGTTTCCTGTGTCTCGTGCCAAGTAACTGAGTCAGGGAGGGCGACGCTCCCGCCGAGGCTGGGTCAGTGCCTTATGTGGTTTCGGGTTGGGCCACGCGCGTGGCGTGTCTCAGCTGCCGCTGTGGCTTGAACAGGCCTGTTTTGTGTGGCCACGTGGGGGGTGGGGGGCGTTAGGGAGATTCTGCAAGTGTCCTGGCCAGTCCTTGCCTTTCCACCTGGTCTCCTCAGCTTCCTGACGGGAGCCTGTGCGGAAACGCCTTCTCTCTTTCCTTTTTCTCCTTGTTTCCTCGTTCTCGGCCAGAACCTGCTGAGTGACGTGCAGGGAGGGGTGCAAACCTCACCTGCTTCCGTGTAACCTCGGGTGGAGCTGAGCCGGTAGGAAGGGTGCGGAGTCTCATCGCTTCCACCCCCCCCCCCATCACGTGGCCCACCTGGCCCTGCACGCACTTCCGATTTGTTCATTTCTGTCTTAAAACGAGAAGCCAGCACAGCACAGGCCACTGGCCGCACCCTCCACCCAAAGGGACATGTTATTCCTTCTCGAAAACGCGTGTCACTGTGTCTTAAAAGACGTGCAATTCCGCTCTTTGAGGCTTTTTAAAAGGGGGTTTTTCAGTAATAGATGTGTCACCTCCATCTTTTAAACGTTTACTATGCAAATTGTTTTAAAGTAAAAGAACCAAATGCTTCTGTTCTACCTTTTCCTCTTCATCTCAGAAGCATTCTGTGCATCGACATTGTCTCAGCTACTGAATAGGAAGTTACCTTGGAGGGTCGTGTAGATTTTAAATGTTCTCATGGACTCAGTGAACCCCAGCGTCCCATGTTAGATGCACAGGCAGGCCGAGCGCGTCCTTCCCGGCGCCCCCCCCCCCCCCCGTGCCTTCTCCCGGGAAAAGTCCAGGGACTCTTCAGCACCCCTTTGGGAAAATGGGTCGCATTAGGCAAAAAAGCGGGTCCCCGAGCGGCCGGGTGTTTTCTCTCTCGGTGGCGCCCTGGGTCCCCCACCCCCACCCACCCCCCAGAAACCCCACCCACCCCCCACCTCCCACCCCGGGTCGGGGACAGCCCTGCAGGTGGTGGGGCCTTCCTTTCTCTCCCACGGGGAAGGGGGCCCCCCTGAATGCCAAAAAGGCCCCCGGGGCCTTCAGGGACCCGGGAAGGGGTCTGTTTTGGGGCTCGAACCCTCCTTTTTTCGGGGCTCTGGGCTCCCCCCTGGGGGGAAGGGGGGGGGGGAAAAAAGTCCCAAATTTTGCGTGCCCGGGTGGGCCTTGGGGGGGTTGGTGCCCGCGGGGGCCCGGGCCAAGGCCGTTCCGCGGGTGGCCCTTGGGAGGCCTCCAGGAA